TATAGTAAAGTCCGTATAAGTAAACATTTGTCTGATAAATTTCATATCCAGAATGGTCTAAGGCAAGGAGATGCTTTATCGCCACTCCTTTTCAACTTTGCTTTAGATTATGCCATTAGGATGGTCCAGGAAAACCAGGTGGGACTGAAATTAAACGGGACACATCAGCTATTGGCCTTTGCCCATGAAATGAATCTACTGGGTGATAATATAGATACCACAAAGAGAAACACATAAACTTTAATTGACGCAAGCAAGGAGGTTAACCTAGAAGTAAACACAGAGAAAACTAATTATATGTTGCTGTCTCGTCACCAAAATGCAGGGCAAAATCATGACATAAAGATATGTAACAGATGTTTTGAAAATGTGGCCCAGTTCAGATATTTGGGAACAACGATAACAGATCGAAACCTGATTCAGGAGGAAGTTAAGAGGCGATTGAACTCGGGTAATGCTTGCTACCATTCAGTCCGGTACCCTTTGTCTTCTCGTCTGCTGTCTAAAAACATAAAAATTAGAATATGCAAAATTACAATTTTGTCTGTGGTTCTGTATGGGCGTGAAACTTGGTCTCTGACATTAAGGGAGGAACATAGACTGAGGGTGTTTGAGAACAGGGTACTGAAGATAATATTTGGACCGAAGAGAGATGGAGTGACAGGAGGTTGGAGTAAACTGCATAATGAGGAGCTTCATAACTTGTACTCTTCTCCAAGTATAATTAGAATGATGAAGTCAAGGAGGATGAGGTGGGCAGGGCATGTAGGACGAATGGGGGGAAAAGGAATGCATGTAGGATATTGGTTGGAAAGCCAGAAAGAAAGAGACCACTGAGAAGACCAAGGCGTAGGTGGGTGGACAATATTAAAATGGGTCTTAGAGAGATAGGATGGGATGGTATGGATTGAATTGATCTGGCTCAGGATAGAGACCAGTGGGGGGCTCTTGTGAACACGGTAATGAACCTTCGGGTTCCATAAAATACTGGGAAATTCTTGAGTAGTTGCAGATTTGGCTTCTCCTCAAGAAGGGCTGAGCTGCATAAGTAAGTAAGTAAGTAAGTAAGTAACATTAGTTACTATTCCTTATACTTCCGGCTATCTTGTCGCTGTATCCGATGCATAGGTCGTGTAGCTTCAAACGGGACATGTGAGTATTGACAGAATGCTGAATGGGAGGTAGTGGAAAATGAAGCCGTTCTTGTCCACTGAAGAGCCTAGGCTAGAATTTGTTTCGAAGAGCGACGAAAATACCAGAAAACTTGAGCTTTGATAACCGAGCAATTTGGCTTTAATGGCGACATGTATTCAGGATGTGCCCTGTCAAAATCCAGGTCGGAACAACGATTATCCTGGCCGAGTCTCCGTGGCTTTCCTCCGTTCCTCCAGGAAAATTTAAGGAAAGCGCACTAAATTAGAACGCGACATTTGCTTTTCATATCATTTTCAATTCAGTGTTCACTGTAATCCAAGTTTTTGCCTGTGTAATCTGAGATAATGGCAGCGACTTTAAACACATTCGTACATTTGTGATAGGTAGTTGAATTCCATAGTGGATACGCAAGCTATTTCGCCAGAAAAATTAAAACTGAAACGTTTTATATTTATTTAAGCTTAAAACTATAAAAATAGAGGAAGTGTAATGATTCGGAAGTTCCATATAATGGAATAGAGGTGCCTTCTTTGGCAGTTACGGAAAAAAATTGCAGTTTTTGTTCATAAGATAACGTAACATAATACAGAATATTAGATAATTAATTTCTTCAATTTTTTGACAAGCATATTCAGGTTATATAATACTCGTAATTTAAAAACAAAATCAGAAGTTTTATTTTTTACCACTAAGACATTAGATCATGTCTGCTGGTAGTTGAAGCCATGATGCCCATGATAACCCACGACATTACGGCAATGGTGGTTGTGTTCGCCC